ATGTGGTGGGCAAGGTTCACAGCGCCTCCTCGTCGGACCATCCCGTGAGGGTGCAAGAAGCGGCGAAACGACGCTGGAAAGCCATCAAGTCGCCCCCCGCAGCCACAAATTATTTGACAAAAGGCAGCCGCTTCTGAAGAGAAGATACCTCCGGACGAAGCACCGATGGCAACTCGAATTTGGCAGGAAGCGGTACCCGCCAGATCGACAAAATGGTGGACGATTTTGGCGCCCCGCTCATGGTGGGAAAAAGGGCAGCTGCCTGTGCGGGCTGGAGCTCTGCCATCTCCTGCGTTTCCACAGTGGCGACGGTCGAGCTGCCCGCCCACTGCCCCCGTGCTGTAGAAATCCTCGGTAGGCATGCAGACCCAAGCTGGACAACCAGCTCCGCTGCTACAGAAAGCAAGCCCACCAGACATGCGGTGAGTTCGCGCCACCCCTCTCCGGCTGCAGGCAGCGAGGTGACGACGTTCCTGCATTGCTGCTCCTCGGGGATCGCCGCTTCAGGACTTATCTCTGGAGTCCTCAATTCCGGGGCGGTTGGGGGGGATCACTTCCCTGTCATCCTCATCTCCCGAGGGAAAAATAGGCGGAATCTTCCTCTTGGTCGACTTGGACATGACTACATTTCTTTAACACTTCTGACGCCAAATGTAGTGACTGACTCAGAGACACTAAAAGTAGGAGGCACTCTGTTTATTAGCATGGCCTAACAGTTAACACTTAGTAACTACGGTTCCCAGTCAGGACAGCTGGTAGACTGCCTGACTGGCAACGCCGAGATGGTGAAGACGGAGACGACGCAGTCGAAGGTGAAGACTCCAGCAGCATGACGGGATCCCAATCCAAACGACAGCCACGAGGTCCCCTCCAGGGGCCCTTCTTATACTGTCAGCGTGGCCTGGCTCTGCTCCTGGCCATGCCCCCTTCTGGAACCTACTCGCGGGATCTCGATGTGCCCCCTCCATAACCTTTCCCCTAGATTGCTCTTTAGTCTATCACGTGGCCTGCTGTCAGTCAGGGCTGCTGTAAGCTGAAAATCCCCTTCCCTGCCAGCAGCCAGCGCTATGCTGCTACATGACCGATTCTATGTCACTACACTTCTTAGGGATTAAGGTGACAGGGGGGGGCATTGCAAAAGATCAATTGCAATAAATGTTAACTACCTCATCTGGTATTCAGGAGGTCGTGGGTTTGATTCCAACCCTGATGCCTGCTGTATATTTGGAGTTTGCGTGTCTTCCTCCCCCCGTGGTCACGTGGATTTTTCTCTGGGTCCTCCGGTTTTTCCCTCCACATTTAGCATGAACTAGTGCTGAGTATTTTGCTGCTATAAATTTTCACGTGATTTGCCACTTCATTGATCTATCATTTGTGATAGCCAGGTTGTACTATACTCATTGGTTCTTTCGGTAAATTAGCATATGTAGAAATAAAATGAAAATTTAATTAAATTAAAATAAATCACGACGTTTCGAACGCAACACAACCGCTCGTCCTCAGTTGAAAATGGCGTAAACCACACAGTGAGGGAACACACAGAGCACCGAGAACGGCAAACTGCACGGAGGCAAATACAGCAAGAAGATGGGAGACGCGAACTCGGCACACTTTAGAAATATCATACGATGCAACCCAGTCGGCCAACAACACAGTTAGACACGAAACCTGGTTGACCACGTATTTCAAAAGACTGCTACATCTGGTGTTTATCTTCTAGGTTGAACACACCAACGTAAACAGAGGATAAGGACTCATGAACAGGCATGAGGTACAAGGTAGCAGATATACATACACAGAGAAGACACAGGGAAAGGTATTTTGGGCAGTACAGAGGCATACAACGAGCAACACCACACCCATGTGCTTTCTCCGTTTTTGTCCTCCCACGTGCTTCCCCCGATCTGTTGCCCGCATCGGCACCTGCACGTCCATGCATGGTCACCCCTCCCCTACCTCCACAGCCCACACAAGTCCCTGCACGTTATCCCTCTGGGCGTCCCCCCGTGCGTGCCTCTCCATGTGTGCATGCCTCCCGGTGCGGTGCCGCTCGTCGCGTCCCTCCGCACTGCCCAAAACACCCCTCCCCGCGTGTCCTCCCCGTGCATGCATCTCCGCCACCCTGCACCCCGCGTCCGCCCACGAGTCCCCATCCTTCGTCTACGTTGGTGTGCCCAACCCAGAAGATGAACACAAGATTCAGCAGTCCCCCGAAACACGTGGTCAACCAGGCCCAGTATCCAACTATGTTGCTGGCCAATTCCCTCGCTGTTTGGTTTTACGCCATTTTCACCTGAGGACAAGCGCTCGTGTTGAATTCGAAACGTCGTGATTTATTTTAATTTTATTTTATTTCTACATACGTGACTTTACCGAAAGAACCAACGCGTATAGTAATTCCTGTAGTCACGAAAGCTTCAATCCTAGATAGCCAGGTTGCTTTTGAAAAAGAGCTATATAGCTCAGTGGGCCTTACCTGAAGTATAAACCATCACACGAACTCTGGTCATCCTCGCAGTGGCTTTTGGCTAGTTATGCATCGCGCGCTTTCAGATGTGCTTCTGCAAGCATCTGGAACGCTCTTCATTCCCACATTAGGAAGCCACTGGAGCTATGCACTTTTAAATCATCATCTAGATTGACAAATCCATTTAATAAGAACTGCTTTTTGTGTTTCATTTGTTGTCCTTCAACGCACCTCCGATTAGCACGATTGGCTAAGTATGAAAGAGGTTCATCATACTGGTAAAATAAAATAAATTGTTAAGTTTAGTTTGATATACTCATGGTGACGAGTTGCCGCGGAGAATCAGTGGGGCTCTGTTCCACACGCGGACAATCGGCAGCCGAGGAAGTGTGGGGGAGAATTGGGGATCTGCGTGCTGAAATCAGCATCCTCGCCCTGCCGCCAGACTAGACCAACCAATCAGGCTTCATCTGTTTCTTTTGTGGAACCGATTTGGGCCTCCTTGACAAATTTCAATTTGTAGAAAGGGGCCGATCTTCTGAGAAAAAAAAAACGGCCATCGTTCCTCCAAAAAGGGGTGGCAGAATAGGCAAAAACTCTTCTATGAATCGGGACTTGCGTCTTTCGTTAAAATCTCCCCTTTGCACGCTGCTCAGTACACATGTGAAGTGCACTGACTTCAGAGACAATATTTGTAGACGCACCTTCTTTTATTTACACACACGATCTTGCCTGCACACACTCCGTACTCGCTACCCTTTGACACAACACTAGCCGTCAAGCATTGGCGGCGCCGATTAATCAGGTTATCTAACAGTACAATGCCGAGTGAAGACGGCAGCGACGATGACGAGATGAGAGCAACGGCGATCTAATTCCCATAACGAGATGAGAGCAACGGCGATCCAATTTCCATAACGGCAGCCTCGAGCTACCGCTCTCGGCCCCTTTTACCCTAGCAGCGTGGCCTGGCTTTGCCCTGGCCGCGCCTTCCTTCTCGAACCCACTAGGAGGTTCCAGATGGGCCCCTCCATGACCCTTGCTCCAGTTCTTCCGCCCTACCGATACACCCGTGTATATGCTCACTGGCGTATGTACAGTTTAGACACCGGAGTTACCGCTGCTGGTCACCAGCTGGCGCTATTACACTAAATATGTGTAGTGACATCGGCGATGTCACTGTATGGTGCCGGCCCGAGAGGGCTGTGGCGCGCGATGCACTGTCATCGCGTACACCCTGTAGGCGGGTGTAGTACCAGCCCTAGCGGGGCTTGGTGTGCACTGGGATAGCGCGGGCACCACACATAGCATGTAATGCAGGCTCCCACAAGGGCTCAGGGTTGCCCCGGGCCATGGCACTCTGGTTGACTCCGTAGACACGTGATCCGGAGTGTCCACAGAGAGGCCCCCAGGTGGGGGGGCTAGGGGGCGATCACGTGTCCGGGGAGAGCTCTCAAGAGGGATCGAGAGAGGGATGGAATGCTCGAGAAGGCGGGTGGGGCCAAGGGCGGAGCAGCCCCGACCCAGGGGGACATTAAGGTGGATCCCTGAGAGGGACTGGGGTCGCTGCATTCTACAAGCTGAAGCTCTACGTACTACAAGCTGGAAGCTCTACAGGCATCAACACGTGGTCAGGACCCGAGTGAGGGTCAGACCCTTCGTAGCTGTAACTCCTCCATTTAGGGCAGTTAGCTGGGTGGCCACCACCCTAGGCTGTATCTGGTCAATGGGCAGTTACCCCTTTGTGTTACGTGTTGATGTTACAAATACAGTGATACCTCGGTTCACAAACTTAATTCGTGAACTGGTCGTGAACCGAATTGGTCGTGAACCGAGGCACATTTTCCCATAGGGTTCAATGTAAATCCGGTTAATCCGTTCTGATCTTTTTTTTTGGTTTTTGAAGCACAAAAATATGAAACAAATTACAATACACATTAGTACTGTACAGTATAGTAATGTATAAAGAGAGAACACTAACCTTGCTTGAGATGACTTTAGTAAGCACTCAAACGGGTGAACTGTACAATACAGCAAGTACAGTATTGTACAGTACAGTACAGTAGTACAGTACTGTATGTGCTAAAAAGCACACTAAAAAGCAAAAAGTCACTGAAAGTGTCTTCACAGTACTCACAGTACTTATTTCTGTGTCTCTTCTTCTCTCCACGATCTTCCTACAGGAAGTCACGACCATGTGACAGCCTGGAAATAGCATTAAAATGGCCACGGCTCCTGTTCGTGAACCGAAGCGGAGTTCATGAACCGGAGCATATTTTTATGAACTTTTCTGTTCGTGAACCGAGTTGTTCGTGAACAGAAGCGTTCGTGAACCGAGGTATCACTGTAAATGTGTTGCCTCTAAAGAACGTCTGCGACTCAGTTGGACTCACTACACATGCACAGTGCCCACTGTGCCAAGTCGCAGCCTGTGCATCCCTGTGTTCACGTGATGTCTGCTGTGCTGCCCAGTGTCTGTGGCCCTGCTCAGACTGTACCACCGCATCTCCCCACATCGCTGTGTGCTCAATACCTGCATGAGAGAATCGCGCGAGTGGAAGCTGATCCTCTTCACTGGTGCTTCGTCAAGCTCACCGATGGCCAACGGAAGCTGCGAAGGGATGAACCTGACAAGGGGGGGAATCTGCATTACCTCACAGAAATCCTGCGTGGACCCACGCACTGATGCAATGATGCACATGCACGTGTGCGCTCACGGCTGTAGTGCCGTGCAGCTATGTGAAAAGCCAGAGAGCTCTAATTTTGATAGTCAATTATATCGGCACTGTGAATGTATTTCATTCAAAGTGATTTCCTGTTCAAATGAGCACTGAGGCGGTGCTAATCTGATTGACTTGTTAAAGAACTGTGCATTCGTCATTTACTCCATAAACACTTCCAATATATAATTTTCCAGCCTAGTCAAGCAGCAGGATGGCTTTCTAGATATCGTGATGCGGTGTAACAATGTAGTCCTGTAACTTAGCGCGGATTGCAGTTCCGCACCTCCAATTGTTGCTGTGCAAGTCGGCACCGGTCCTGGTTTGACTCGGGCAGTCCAGGAGTCGGTGACGTGTCCGGGTTTTAAGGGCGAAGCAACTCGGAGCGAATGTCTGTATGTTTTATCTCTGGCCTGGAACCCCACACTACCCACACAATACCTCACTGCGCTGCACTCTACACGACCTGCAACTGACCTCACCCCCATGCCTGCCACACCAGGCCCAGCACCCTGCACCCTGCTCTCTCCATGATCTCTATGTCAGGCCCACGCTGGGGTCTGACATAATGAACAGGAGGCCATACTCGTTGCTGTGTGCTATCCTGTGGAGAGAGTTAAAGGCAGTGGGAGGTGGGTCCCTGTCACTCATCACAAGGGACCCTCTACGGCAGAGGTCGGCAACCAAAATAACAAGAAGAGCCATTTTTTTGGTTCAAATTCGGTAAAAAAAACCCTCAATGTTTCAAGAGTCGCACAATGCACATGAACATGTGAGGAGATGGTGGTCCTTAATAAACGTAACGAAGCGGTTCCTTAAAAAACCGCGTGCGGCTCCCGAGCCACAGGTTGCCGACCCCTGCTCGAGGGGACACGTGTCCCTCTGGGAGACTCAGAGGGGGGGCAGCGCTGTTCACGAATCCCCTGTGCCACCCCAAAAATCGTGAAGATTCAGGGTAACGCGCAAACAAATTCGCGAGCCCTGACATCAACTCCATTTGCTGAACTCGCCGTTTCATCTACGAGATGTGTGACTGATGAGTGATGCAGTCTCAAGAATATGCCTAAAATTATGGCACTGCTGGAACAAGCGGACCCTGTAACCGGCACAGGTCTGTTCATAGACAGCAGGGCACATTCCAAAGATGGTGGTCACTGCATTGTGCGCTTTCAGATGCACTTCTGCGGCCGTCTACAACGCTCTTACTTCTCACATTAGGAAGCCACTGGAGCTATGCACTTTTAAATCATCTAGATTGAGAACTCATTTCTTTAGAACTGCTTTTCATATTCTGATGACGATCGCTTGTGTTTTGATCTAAACGCTTGTGTTGTGATCGAAACGTCGTAGTTTGTTATTTTCTTTGAACCATCTACATGCCTTTACCGAAAGACCAAAAAAGAACCAAAGAATATGAATTCATGCATTCACGAAAGATTTAAGTCGAGATTTAACTGCTTTTCATGTTTAGTTTGTTGCCCTTCCCCCGCACCTTTGATTAATGCAGTTGGCTACGTATGGTGCGAAATAAGTTCAACATACATACATCATGAACCGGCTGTTCCTATTTATAAAATGATTTACATACACGTGTAAGATAACAGGAATTAAATGCAGTATTTAAAAAATACAAAATTCCAATGCACTTTAAACGGAATCACCGCCACATTATAAGTTGACTAAACTCTGTGTGTAAACACAATTGCTGCATCAGCCAGCTAATAATAATGTCAACTTGTAACGCACCGCCGCCACACATTGTTTGCTCGCTCTTGAAAAGAGATAACAAGGCGCGAGGAGGAACCACAGACAAAAGGAGAAGGCAGCCAGGCAGTGAAGAGTCACCAAATTATCTTCAAAGCTCTATGGGCCTCTATACATGAAGGTGTTATTGGCCAATTATTAAATATTTACATTTGTCAGAAAATTGGAGCAACAGGAGAAAACCCACACGTGCGAGGGAGAAACACTATCCCATAGAGATTGAACAAGTGAGGTTCTCATTTGCTATGCAGCGTTCTCCTGATACGCCTGGGTGCCACAGTGGCAAAACGTTAACCACCTCGCCTGGTATATAGGAGGTCGTGGGTTCGATCTCGACCCTGATGCTTGCTATATATTTGGAGTTTGCGTGTTCTCTGGGTCCTCCAGTTTTTCCCTCCCATTAAGAAACATGCGGTTAGAGTATTTGGCTGCTTCATTGAGCTACCATTTGTGGTCAGGTCGCCTCTGAAAAAGAGCTATATAGCTCAGTGAGCTTAACCTGGAAAAAAAAAATCGTTTTAGTTATTAGTTTAAGCTAGGGTAAAGCACCTCATAGACACCTCATAGGAAGGGAATTTCACAACATTTCGGCCTTATAGTTTAACCCTTACTGCCTCTACAGTGCTGGATTAGAAGCCACGTGCAAAGCCACTACCACCACCAGAGAAGAGCTTACCGGTCCAGACTGGCATCAGCATCCAGTGTGGCCGTGAGGAAGACTGGGCCTTCCCCGGCTCCATCTCCATGAGAAGCAAACTCGAAGGGAACAGGCCTCAGGTACAGGTGACACTCCTCGAAGCCCATGCGCCCCGCCAGGCCCTTGTACAGCCTGCGCAGCGCCACACAGCACCACATGAAGCATCGCCCTGCGACAGAAACTTGCAGGCACGACCTGCGTTGCCCTCAGCTGATGTTCTGCTAACTGCCGCCCTGTCACTGATTTCCTCAGTGGCAGACTATTGTGTTGCAGGCTCGTTCAGGATCTCGTACACAAAACTATGAGGTGCGTAATTAAACAACGCAATGCGTATGATAACTGGAACTCTAAAACTGACTCCAATCCGCTGGCTCCCTGCTCTGGCGAAAATTCTGCCACCAAATATCTCCGAAGGCATGCAAAATGCAAAGGAATTTACCTGTGACATCCACGTCCTCATTTGAGGCTGAGTCGACCTAAAGAAGGTCCATGACCGTTGCAGATAATTGTCATTAGTGTTGACCATGAGCGGAAATCGATGTCATGTTGCCGGGTTCGTTGCGCAGCATGCTAACTGCGACACTACTGTACTCCACGAGCAGTAGTTTTATCACACACACACACACACAAGTCAAATATCCCCCGTGTCGCCTTTAACAGACTCCTTGGGCAAGTACTGTAAGAACCAATGAAGGCCGGCACGGCACACGAGGGGGTGGGTGGCCAACACCACGCCTGGCCGCATTTGTCTCCCTAGTGGCGATATTGACACTCCGCACCAGTTTCTCATTTGAGGCTGAGCCGACCTAAGGGAGGCCCAGGACTGGTTCAGATAATCGTCAGTGGTGTTGTCCGTGAGTGGGAATCGAACTTGGGTCGCTGGGTTCGTAGTGCAGCTCCCTAACCGCTACACTACCGCTCCCTACACTACCACACGCACACGCACACACGCAGTGCTGTCCAGGCTGGGCAGCAGACACAGAAACTCTGGCACAGTAGTCCATGCACCACTGAGCTCACCGGGCGAGCAGAGCCGTCTCGTGCGCCGACTCGGCAATCCGGTGTCGAAGCGAGAGGACGTCCAGCAGGAGCGCCCAGGAGGAGAGGGCCCGCTCGGCCCGCTGACCCGGCGTCTCCTCCCCACCGTGCTGCGTCTCCCCGGCGCCCACCAGTGCCGAGCCCAGCTCACAGACACACCACGGGTCGCCCAGGAGCCCCTCCCCGAACAACTGTGGTGCACGCGGAGAAACGCCGGCATTGTTCCCCGAGTAAAACCGCCAAGTGCGGGCATGAGCCCGTCGCTGCTTCACATGGTGTCTTCTGTGCTGTGGGACAGAGGTCAGTGAGGATGGCCAGGGACGGTAGCTGGGGACGCTCGGATGCATCGGTCCGTGAGCCACAAAGGCCGTGGGAAACGGTGCCGCAGAAACTGTTGCAGATGCGAGGATTATTTCTACAAACCACTGTGCAGCTTCAACCATATGATGAATGCGAGTCAATAACAAGCAAATCAATAATTTTATGCCTTTTTTTGTTAAATATTTTACACCGTTTTAAGAGTTGTAAATTTTGAATAATGTTGTTGGTGCACAATGGCCTGTAAATGAGTGAAGGTGGACAGCGAGCGGTGCGTGGGTCCAGAAACGTTGGGACCGCTGCTCCTAGGTGACAGGCGAGCTTTCAGGTCTGAGTGTTGCAGTTCAATGCCGAATGATGATTTTTTGCGAACCAGTTTAGGCTCTATACACTTTTAGACCGAGTAAAATGTCACGGCGGAGTCTCTATAAAACACACGGAATCACTTAAACGCGCCGCACGGACAATCGCGGGTGAATAAAACGCACGGTGAAATCACGTCCTGTCATGCAACCGCCACCCCACGCGATTCCACCAGACGTGGCCGAGGTGCGTAATGCCGAGCGGCCACTCACCTCTCTGTGGACGGCGGCACCGTAGTCCAGCTCGGGCGTCTCGGCGGCCGCCCAGGCGGCGAGCGCCGCGCGCAACACGTGCTGCTCCATGCGGAGGCGCTCGGTGCCGGAGGGGAGCCGCTGCGGCGATGGCGGCGGAGAAAGCTCGGAACAGGCGAGGCGCAGCGCATGGGTGACGCGCCACACGAGCCCCAGCGAGGGGTGCACCTCAAGCAGCGAGAGCGGCCTCGTCGCAGCGCTGCACGTGGCAGAGGAACGTCGGTCGTGGCACGGCGAGCGCCGAAAGAGCGCCGAGAGAGCGTCTCTACTCCCCGCCGGTGTCATCAATGCCCCCTCCCCCCACCTCGCCCATGATCCGACGACGAGCAGCGAACATCCGACCCACTCAGCATCGATATCTGCACTGCGTGGCTCCTCGCTGAAGCCCATGCTCATAAATGACTTCTCACACACTTCTAAACCGTGGACTTCGGTTCTCATGACGTATAACTCTGTCGTTGATTTTGTAAAAGGCATTACCCAGCCGAAGTATCGCTTCTAAAATACCAGACTGCTGCTACAAGAATGTGACTGCCGGGGGTTTTCATAGGCAAGCAACCATGCATGACCTGAGAATCTAGTGTGGGTACCCGCTGGTGGGTGTGAGTGCCCGCTGGTGCTAGTGGTGGGTGTGAGTGTGGGTACCCACTGGTGCTAGTGGTGGGTGTGGGTGCCCGCTGGTGCTGGTGGTGGGTGTGAGTGTGGGTACCCACTGGTGCTAGTGGTGGGTGTGGGTGCCCGCTGGTGCTGCTGGTGGGTGTGAGTGTGGGTGCCCGCTGGTGCTGGTGGTGGGTGTGAGTGTGGGTACCCACTGGTGCTAGTGGTGGGTGTGAGTGTGGGTACCCGCTGGTGCTGGTGGTGGGTGTGAGTGTGGGTGCCCGCTGGTGCTAGTGGTGGGTGTGAGTGTGGGTACCCGCTGGTGCTAGTGGTGGGTGTGAGTGTGGGTACCCGCTGGTGCTGGTGGTGGGTGTGAGTGTGGGTACCCGCTGGTGCTGGTGGTGGGTGTGAGTGTGGGTACCCGCTGGTGCTAGTGGTGGGTGTGAGTGTGGGTACCCGCTGGTGCTAGTGGTGGGTGTGAGTGTGGGTACCCGCTGGTGCTAGTGGTGGGTGTGAGTGTGGGTACCCGCTGGTGCTGGTGGTGGGTGTGAGTGTGGGTACCCACTGGAGCTAGTGGTGGGTGTGAGTGTGGGTACCCGCTGGTGCTAGTGGTGGGTGTGAGTGTGGGTACCCGCTGGTGCTAGTGGTGGGTGTGAGTGTGGGTACCCGCTGGTGCTAGTGGTGGGTGTGAGTGTGGGTACCCGCTGGTGCTAGTGGTGGGTGTGAGTGTGGGTACCCGCTGGTGCTAGTGGTGGGTGTGAGTGTGGGTACCCACTGGAGCTAGTGGTGGGTGTGAGTGTGGGTACCCACTGGTGCTAGTGGTGGGTGTGAGTGTGGGTACCCGCTGGTGCTAGTGGTGGGTGTGAGTATGGGTACCCGCTGGTGCTAGTGGTGGGTGTGAGTGTGGGTACCCGCTGGTGCTAGTGGTGGGTGTGAGTGTGGGTACCCGCTGGTGCTAGTGGTGGGTGTGAGTGTGGGTACCCATGGTGCTAGTGGTGGGTGTGAGTGTGGGTACCCGCTGGTGCTAGTGGTGGGTGTGAGTGTGGGTACCCGCTGGTGCTAGGTGGTGGGTGTGAGTGTGGGTACCCACTGGTGCTAGTGGTGGGTGTGAGTGTGGGTACCCACTGGTGCTGGTGGTGGGTGTGAGTGTGGGTACCCACTGGTGCTAGTGGTGGGTGTGAGTGGGGTACCCGCTGGTGCTAGTGGTGGGTGTGAGTGTGGGTACCCGCTGGTGCTAGTGGTGGGTGTGAGTGTGGGTACCCACTGGTGCTGGTGGTGGGTGTGAGTGTGGGTACCCACTGGTGCTAGTGGTGGGTGTGAGTGTGGGTACCCGCTGGTGCTAGTGGTGGGTGTGAGTGTGGGTACCCACTGGATGCTAGTGGTGGGTGTGAGTGTGGGTACCACTGGTGCTGGTGGTGGGTGTGAGTGTGGGTACCCGCTGGTGCTAGTGGTGGGTGTGAGTGTGGGTACCCACTGGAGCTAGTGGTGGGTGTGAGTGTGGGTACCCACTGGTGCTAGTGGTGGGTGTGAGTGTGGGTACCCGCTGGTGCTGGTGGTGGGTGTGAGTGTGGGTACCCACTGGAGCTAGTGGTGGGTGTGAGTGTGGGTACCCGCTGGTGCTAGTGGTGGGTGTGAGTGTGGGTACCCGCTGGTGCTAGTGGTGGGTGTGAGTGTGGGTACCCGCTGGTGCTAGTGGTGGGTGTGAGTGTGGGTACCCGCTGGTGCTAGTGGTGGGTGTGAGTGTGGGTACCCGCTGGTGCTAGTGGTGGGTGTGAGTGTGGGTTCCCGCTGGTGCTAGTGGTGGGTGTGAGTGTGGGTACCCACTGGTGCTGGTGGTGGGTGTGAGTGTGGGTACCCGCTGGTGCTAGTGGTGGGTGTGAGTGTGGGTACCCGCTGGTGCTAGTGGTGGGTGTGAGTGTGGGTACCCGCTGGTGCTGGTGGTGGGTGTGAGTGTGGGTACCCGCTGGTGCTAGTGGTGGGTGTGAGTGTGGGTACCCGCTGGTGCTAGTGGTGGGTGTGAGTGTGGGTACCCACTGGTGCTAGTGGTGGGTGTGAGTGTGGGTACCCACTGGAGCTAGTGGTGGGTGTGAGTGTGGGTACCCGCTGGTGCTAGTGGTGGGTGTGAGTGTGGGTACCCGCTGGTGCTAGTGGTGGGTGTGAGTGTGGGTACCCGCTGGTGCTAGTGGTGGGTGTGAGTGTGGGTACCCACTGGAGCTAGTGGTGGGTGTGAGTGTGGGTACCCACTGGTGCTAGTGGTGGGTGTGAGTGTGGGTACCCACTGGTGCTAGTGGTGGGTGTGAGTGTGGGTACCCACTGGAGCTAGTGGTGGGTGTGAGTGTGGGTACCCGCTGGTGCTAGTGGTGGGTGTGAGTGTGGGTACCCACTGGTGCTAGTGGTGGGTGTGAGTGTGGGTGCCCGCTGGTGCTAGTGGTGGGTGTGAGTGTGGGTGCCCGCTGGTGCTAGTGGTGGGTGTGAGTGTGGGTACCCACTGGAGCTAGTGGTGGGTGTGAGTGTGGGTACCCGCTGGTGCTAGTGGTGGGTGTGAGTGTGGGTACCCACTGGTGCTAGTGGTGGGTGTGAGTGTGGGTACCCACTGGTGCTGGTGGTGGGTGTGAGTGTGGGTACCCGCTGGTGCTGGTGGTGGGTGTGAGTGTGGGTACCCGCTGGTGCTAGTGGTGGGTGTGAGTGTGGGTACCCACTGGTGCTAGTGGTGGGTGTGAGTGTGGGTACCCACTGGTGCTAGTGGTGGGTGTGAGTGTGGGTACCCGCTGGTGCTGGTGGTGGGTGTGAGTGTGGGTACCCGCTGGTGCTAGTGGTGGGTGTGAGTGTGGGTACCCGCTGGTGCTAGTGGTGGGTGTGAGTGTGGGTACCCGCTGGTGCTAGTGGTGGGTGTGAGTGTGGGTGCCCGCTGGTGCTAGTGGTGGGTGTGAGTATAGGTTCCCGCTGGTGCTGGTGGTGGGTGTGAGTATGGGTTCCCGCTGGTGCTGGTGGTGGGTGTGAGTATGGGTACCCGCTGGTGCTAGTGGTGGGTGTGAGTATGGGTACCCACTGGTGCTAGTGGTGGGTGTGAATATGGGTTCCCGCTGGTGCTGGTGGTGGGTGTGAGTATGGGTACCCACTGGTGCTAGTGGTGGGTGTGAGTGTGGGTTCCCGCTGGTGCTAGTGGTGGGTGTGAGTATGGGTTCCCGCTGGTGCTGGTGGTGGGTGTGAGTATGGGTTCCCGCTTGTGCTGGTGGTGGGTGTGAGTGTGGGTACCCGCTGGTGCTGGTGGTGGGTGTGAGTATGGGTACCCACTGGTGCTAGTGGTGGGTGTGAGTATGGGTACCCGCTGGTGCTAGTGGTGGGTGTGAGTGTGGGTACCCGCTGGTGCTGGTGGTGGGTGTGAGTATGGGTACCCGCTGGTGCTAGTGGTGGGTGTGAGTGTGGGTACCCACTGGTGCTGGTGGTGGGTGTGAGTATGGGTACCCGCTGGTGCTAGTGGTGGGTGTGAGTGTGGGTACCCACTGGTGCTAGTGGTGGGTGTGAGTGTGGGTACCCACTGGTGCTGGTGGTGGGTGTGAGTGTGGGTACCCACTGGTGCTGGTGGTGGGTGTGAGTGTGGGTGCCCGCTGGTGCTGGTGGTGGGTGTGCGTGTGGGTACCCACTGGTGCTAGTGGTGGGTGTGAGTGTGGGTACCCACTGGAGCTAGTGGTGGGTGTGAGTGTGGGTACCCACTGGTGCTGGTGGTGGGTGTGAGTGTGGGTGCCCACTGGTGCTAGTGGTGGGTGTGATGTGGGTGCCCGCTGGTGCTAGTGGTGGGTGTGAGTGTGGGTGCCCGCTGGTGCTGCTGGTGGGTGTGAGTGTGGGTGCCCGCTGGTGCTAGTGGTGGGTGTGAGTGTGGGTGCCCGCTGGTGCTGCTGGTGGGTGTGAGTGTGGGTGCCCGCTGGTGCTAGTGGTGGGTGTGAGTGTGGGTGCCCACTGGTGCTGGTGGTGGGTGTGAGTGTGGGTACCCGCTGGTCCTGGCGAGCGCTATGGGCTCGGTGGGCACGATGCGAGGAGGTAGGCCGTAGTCGAGCATGTTGCCCCTCTCCCCGTCGCGCCACACGCTCCGAGCATAGTCGCGCATAGCGGCCACCTGCACGCAGCCCGCGCGGCCAGGGCACGGTCCCAGTCAATCACGCGCACGCACAACGCACGTCACCACACGCAGGCCGACACGCGTGGGACACAACGACAAAGAGCCCCCATGAAGCCTACACATAATTAAGGTTTTTGGGTTAGATCGCGTAAGTATAAATGTGTCATAACCCTCCACCACCCGACACAGCAAATGAATAAGGAATTTGTCACGTAAACATAAAACGCCAATTAGTTACTACTTCAACCCACCGGCGTGTTGGAGAGTAAATCCACAACATTTACAATTTGAGTACGTTTCGCTGATAATTACATCCAGCATCATCGGGCGATTTTCCAGAATAGTGAAGCAATCCACCTGCTTCCAATCTTAAATAGAGCAGGACGTCATCACTGAACCCAATCAGGTGCAGAGATCAGAGGCGGAGGAGGGGGGGTATTGTAATATGATAGACTAGCTTTACTACCCGGCTTCGCCCGGGACTTGGATTCACTACACCCGGCCGCCTTTGTCTCCCAAGTGGCAATGTTCACACACCACACGAGTTACTCGTTTGAGGCTGAGTCGATCTAGGGGAGGCCCAGGACCGGTTCAAATAATCGTCACCGGTGGTGGCCGTGAGCAAGAATCGAACTCGGGTCGCCGAGTTCGTCGTGTAGCGCGCTAATCACTACACTACCGCTCCCCCCACACACACGCGTGTCCATGGATACACATACACGCGCTTGCTGCAAACACACACACAACTTTTAGGGTGCGTACGGCAGTAAACGACTCAATAATAAACCAATGCTGCGCGAAGAACGCCTTAGACCTGCAACACATTTGTATTTCACTTTACCCGTGGAGGATTGGGGGGGGGTCCGTGACATCAGCAGGCACACTCCGTTAAGCTTCCGTCACATGACAGATGTGACGTCACAGCTCACTTGCCGTGCAAAACATATGCATCATTGCGCCCCCCCCCCCAAAAAATACAAAAGTCTATTTTTATAATTTTTGCATGGTGTACAGTCTGGAAAGTACCCACATGGCAAATGTCAAGTTTGTTGCATGTCGGGTAGTATGCTAAACATATTGAACAGACACACATTCACAAATTTCCATTGTTTTATATATAGCTTAGTAATCAGTTAATTAGTATGTGTTTCCTCTATAAGGAATGTAATTGTAAGATGTATTAATTATTAATATGCTTCCAGGCCGCACTAAGCATGTAGCTGTAAGAGCAGTTAAAATTATTTGTATTTCTCTAAATTTCAATGGATTCTCGAATTAGTCTTGGCCAGTAATAATTAGTTTTACACAACACTTCGACGTTATCAAATAAATTGAGTGTCCTTGTTGGCAAGCATGTTCTGCAACTGGCAACAGTTGTGTTTGAGAGTATTTAATATTTTTTTGGTGTTATTTTAGTCTTACGCTAATGTTACGTCCTGTCTGTCCAATATAGCATCTGCCACATAAGCAATTAATCCAATACACACCTTCTGTTGATAACTTAGGCAATCCATCTTTAGCACAATATACTAGTATTAGAATTTTGTGTACCGTGCCAAATCTTACTTAGATTTTTAGCTTTTCTAAAACTCGAGCTAATTTGTCAGTTACTCCCGCGATATATAGAATTTTTATTTTTTATTTAAAGCTTTCATGACTGCAGGAATTCATACTCTTTGGGTCTTTCGGTAAAGTCACATAGATAGAAAAATAATAGATCACGACGTTTCAATCACAACGCAAGCAATCGTCTTCGCCTGAAGACGATTGCTCTTCGGTAAACGCAGTGTGTTATTTTACCATGTAGGCCGCGTCCAAGCAAAATATCTAGGAAAGGGAGTGTGTTATTCACCTCCATTTCCATGGTGAACTGTGTTGTATGTGTTGGAATTATGAAATTTTGATAAAATAAAAAAAATTAATAATTTTCCGAGAAATGCGCAAATCGCATTAATTATGTTAATGTGTGTATTAACATGCACAAATTATGATAATGCGTGTAATTATATGCATAAATTATGATAATCACGGAGATAATCGTAGTAATTTATGCGGACGCTTGCGATTATGTTAATGTGAGCAGTTATGATAATTAGGCTTAGTCTCGTTTGTCCAGAGTTGTATCAAACAGGATAACACGATTATCATCGATTAAACATTTACTGATTATCCTAGTGTGTGTTATGTTATTTTAGGTCTCCAGTTTCATATCTCATCACAGGCTACAGTTCTCAGGAATAAGACAGTTTTGCATGGACTTGGAAAGAAGCACTCGAACAGTTGGTGTTAAGCAATTTTAATTATAAACGAACACATGACACTCTCTTATGCAAAAGCAAGTATACGTCAATAAATTCATGGACAAGATTATGCAATTAACGAAATTGAATGACTAAAACATTCCTTATTCATGTAACTCGACGGCAGCAACTGCTTAGCACGATCAGTTGGTAGTGAACGCACCACCTCGAAATGGCAACCCTTTTTGAAACGCAAAGATATTTTTTTTAAAGTCTTATTCGTGTGCGTGCGGTGCGTGCGTTGTCCCCTTGTAAAATTAATTAATTCTTAGAGCCGGGAGTTGTTTCGTTAGCTTGTGTGGTGTGGGAGGATACAAACAGCGGCCAGAGGTTTTCTCTGGGTTGGGCGAGGCCGCAGCGAGTCGTGCTGCTTCCTCGCTCAGGCGTGTCTCTGCTTGTGCGCTCTCTCTCTCTCCACTGCTCGATTGAGTTTGCACGACGCTCGCCGTCGTGGTGCGCGATGATTCCGTCGCCGGATAGCGCGCAGCTCCTCCACGAGTCGGCACGACGCTCGGTGACGTCCGAGTCGTGCTGCTCTTGCGCTCTCTCTCCCTCTACTGCTAGATGACGAGTTGGCACGACGCTCGGTGATGCCCGGGTCGTGCTGTTCTTGTCGCTCTCTCCTTGATCGCTGCCAACTTCACACGGACACTCGCCCTTGCTTCAGGCTGTGTTGGCTTGTGGCTCTGGACGACGCGGCTGTGCTCACTGGGTGGTGGTCGGTCTGAGTATCAAACACACTGCGCATTCGATGGCGCTTTCTCTCTCTTGGTGGCAGCCCCCGGCTTCTCCACTGCTCGATTGATTGTTGAGTCGGCACGATGCTCGCCGTCGCTCTGAACGTCTGGTCTGTTCTCACTGGGTCGTTGGTCGGTTTGCGCCTCAAACACACTGCGCATTCGATGGCGCTGTCCTCTTCCTCACAGCCGTTTGACCAGGCTTTCTCCACTGCTTCGCGCTCTCTGCTTTGCTCGCTTGATCGACGCTCGGCGATTTCCGCCCTTTTACAGGTTGATTGCTTGTCGTCACTCGTCACTCTCTCTTCTCCGTGCTTCCCTTGTTCGTGCAGCTGCCAGCTTCACTCGCACTTAACTTCGTTCTGCGAGAAGCGACACCTGCTATCGGCATCAGTGTTTCGTTTCCTCACGACGCTCCGCCAGCCGGAGCACGGCTGAAACCCAGCCCCGACCCAGGTTGAACTCAGACTTCTGCGACTCGAACGACCCCTCCTCGTTCCATCACTTCTCGAGGCACGATCTGCCCCAGCTCTCTTGCGAGCCCTGTCGCAACGCCGCGTCGCATGCCGAGTTGCAAGACTGAGCACGCCTCGGACAGACTGCTCTCAGGCTTCCACTTTAACGATGTCTCGTCGTCCCATCTCTTCTCGAGGCACGACTTCCACAGCTCCCTTGCGAGCCCCGTCGCAACGCTGAGCATGACTCGGACAGACTGCCTGTTCGCTATATGCGCTTGTGCTTAACTCAAAAACGTGACTCCCCTCTCTGCGCATTCCTTGCGAGCGGGCAACAAAACACAAACAGAGCGAGAAGAAGCAGACACCCCCGCGACCCCTCCTCGCAACCTTTCCTAACCCTCCAAGCATTCATGGGCCATCTGTTTGTGCTGCGGGGAGACAAAGACGGCCGTGTTTAACTCAAAAACGTGAGCACCCTCTCCTCTCTCCGCGTCTCTTGCGAGAGAAAACAAACAGAAAAAAAACAGATGTTCTCAAATGTCAGCACAAACTCCCCCCCTTGTGACCTTTCTGCTCCCTTCTTGCTTGCCGGACCATTGGAGACAGAGGTGGCTGAGGAGATTTTTGCAATACATTTATGTGGTCCTGTGTGTTACATTTATTCTTGAGTTATATTTTAATGTCCTGAGGTTAAGTGCAACTAAGTTTCCACTTACGCTTCCTTAACTGTTGGAATTCGTAATTATTATTATTTTTTTGGTCAGGTAGATAGAAATATACAATACAAAATAATATATATGGTGAATACGAGTAATACAAGGGAATTATTAATAAAAAGCCCCTATTGTTTGTTGGTTACTCTTTTTGTTAAGTTTCTACTTTTCGGTACGGAAAACGTTTAAGGAAAACGTGAGTTGCAACAATTGTTGTATCTATGCTCTGCACCCTATCTGTACATCTCCAGATGTCTTGGGAGGTTGGTCCATCCATCTTTTTGTCCATCTGGATGTCTATGACCTCTCTGTGACCGAATTCTTATCGTCATAGATTCCTGGTGTGCTTGTGAGGAGAAGTGGGTTGTTTCCATTATTTTAAAAAAAAATATATAGATATAATAAAAAAAATTATATAAATTTTTTTTTGAATTGTTCTTAATAAAAAAAGGGTATAGACACAACAATCCGCCCTTTTGAAAATTATCAGGGGTCGATTTGGCCACTGGCGAATTTTCAAACAAAGTAAATGCCCTTTTTTGTGTTATGAATCCATAAGCCGCCCTCACTCTCGGCGGTTATTTCTTACCACGCGCGCGTTATGTATCACAATCTTAACATGGTTACATTTGAAATAAGCAAAGAAAATGAAACAAAACGTTAAACATCAATACCACAAGTTACATCGATTCTCATCCATCATAACTACGGCGGATATTAATTTTTTTGTTTTTGTTAAATCCTGGGAAACGCTAGGTAGCGGTTTCGAACGCATTTATGCATTACCTT